CTGGAATTCGAGGAGAGCTCTGGCTGCAAGCATCTCGCGAAAACTGGACTCGCGCCTGGAAAGAAGCGGGGGCCAACCCGAGTTCGGGCAAGTTCGAGCCCTTCTGTCCCGACGATAGGGTTCCCAAGCCCATCCCAAAGAGCATTGTGTAGCCGCTCATGGGAGCCATCGCGTAACGCTTAGGCGTTTGATGTCGTTCCACTTCTGTTCAAATTCCGTTCCGCATCCGTTCGAATGCGCTCAACGTCCTCCGTGGGCCTAGCGCCATCAGAGCACAACGGCCCCCGGGGCACGAGAGCGACACGGAAGTGGCGCGGAAAGGGCACGGACTCTGCGAAGAAGGCAAGGTGTAACGTAACACGAAGGCTCCCGTGAACGGCTACGGCCATCGCGCTGCCATGAGAAACGCATACTAAGGTTGGGTCGGGCATGTCCTCCTACAGGCGGGCTTTGGAGGAACAATTAGAACTTGTCCCAACACAAAAACAATAGTGGCCAAAGAAATTCAAGAGATCGTCCCGACACTATTCTTTCGGGGGCCATGCTTGCAAACCTCCTGTAGAGGGACGTGCCCGACCGGAGTGCAGCGCAGCAGGGAGGCTCCCGTGAGCGGCTGCGGCCCTCGCGCTGCCACGAGAGGAGGAGGAGGAGGAGGAGGAGGAGGAGGAGCAGGAGCAGGAGGAGGCGCAGGAGGAGGAGGAGGAGGAGGAGGAGGAGGAGGAGGAGGAGGAGGGAGGAGGAGGAGGAGGAGGGAGGAGGAGGAGGGAGGAGGAGGAGGAGGAGGAGGAGGAGGGAGGAGGAGGAGGAGGAAGAGGAGGGCTGCGGCCACCGCGCCTGCCACGAGCAAAAGCGCACACTCCAAAAGGAGAGCGACAAAGGGCTCCGTGCTGTGGCCACGGCGGGCACGGGCCACAAGCACGGGCCCCGCGCGATACTTAGCCGCTCTCCGAGGCACGGCTGCCCGAAGGCCCGAGCCCCGTCCCGAGCGCCCAAAAACTTCGGGTGTTCCATATTTTCCCATGTCTTCCCATATTTTCCCATATTTTCCATATTTTCCCATATTTTCGGGTTTCCCATATTTTCCCATATTTTCCAAAAAAAACTGCGGGTTTTCCATATTTTCCCATATGTTCTGGGTTTTTGTCTTCCCACCCACTTCGCATATTTCCCACATCTTCTGGGAATCGACGATTAATTAATTGTGTCTGTGTGTTTTTGTCCCCTCCTCTGATTCTGACCCGAACACCACCAGGGGACCAGCTCAGGGGAGGAGCGAAGAGCTTGGATCGGCGATCGCCGGTAGAAATCTGCCCTTGAGTCCCTTCCCATCCTCAGGTCGGGCATGTCCGCCTGGAGGCGGATGTTGGGCGAAGACTAAAAAACCAAAAAACTCAAAATAGATCCCAGAATGGTCCAACGAATCATCGCAAACCGTCCCCAGACTATGTTTTGACTATTTTTGACTGTTCCTCCTGTAGAGGGACGTGCCCGACTCAATCCTATCCTCAGGAACCTGTGATGGAGTCCGAGGATAGGAAGTGGTTCACGGGCAGATCTTTGTTGCTTGCCCACACATCGTCCTCAGGACCCGATCCCTCAGGACCCCATTGCTGACTGCTGGCGCGCACAAGGGGGGCAGGGAGGGGGAAGGCTCCTTGGAAGGAGGCTGCTTCCCGGAAGGCGGCGGCCCTACACCCACAGACAAGGCCCGCGCCTTCTGAGAAGCAGGGCTGCTTCCAAGAAGCCTTCTCCCCCCCCCCCTTGTCCCCCTCTGCTCAAGAGGGAAAGAAACACACAGACACAATTAATCGGCGATTCCCCAGAAAATATGGGAAAATATGGGAAGTGGGGGGGAGACAAAAACCTAGAACATATGGGAAAATATGGAGAATATGTTTATTTGTGTGTATTTATTTGTGTGTCCCAGGGCCCCTTCATCTGCGCGCGGCCGAGTGGAACCACCGGAGAGCGGTCCTGACTGCAGCGTCCTGACTGCACGGTCGGACCTGGGGCAGAAGAACATCCTTCAAGAACGCGAGACCCTCCGCCGGCCACGCCGAAGAGCACTCGAGGGCACCCTCCCCCAGGATGCACGAGAGCACCCAGCAAACACGAAGAACACCAGGGCACCCTCCCCGAACCGCCCCTCGAACTCAGACCTCGGGCCGACTGCACTCGCTCGGGGCCTTGCACGCGGGCCATCGGCCCCGTGTGCCTCCGCCGCTCCGGTGGCCCGGCAAGGGCCCCGCAGAGGTGGACAGCGTGGCCCCCTGGTGGTCCCGACTCCTTCCCTCGGGGCCTCGCTTTCCATCCCGAGCCTTGGCAGCGCGCACAAGGGGGCAAGGGGGGGGCAGGGGGGGGGGAAGGAGAAAGAACGGCACAAGCATTGACTGTTGGCGATCCGCGCGGATTTCTTAGATCCGCGCTGGACCTCCTCCCTGGCGCGCGGAGCGCGCCAGGGGCGGCGCCCGAGGCGCCGCCAGGGGGCCCAGTGCGGATCCAAGAGATCCGCGCGGAGCGCCAACAAATGTTCACGTGTATGCCATTTTTCCTTCTTCGATAGAAGAGAGCTACTTCTCAGAGGGCGCAGGCCGTGGCTGACCCAGGGCCCCGAAAGGGCCCCCAGCAGAGGCCGAAGAGAACCCGAGAAGCCTGCGTCGTGACCCGGGACCGCCCTGGGAGCCCCGAAGAGCCAAGGAGCGAGGACACCTCGCGCATAGGTTGCTGCTTCCGTCCGCTTCCACGGGCCTTTCGCCGGCGTCGCCGACCCCGTTTGCAGTCAGCCCGTATCATAAGGATGCACAGCAAGGATGGAGGCCTACGCAAGCGGTTTTCGAGCGAGGCTGGCCAGCGAAAGTCGCTAAGGATGGGCCGAAGGGGCAAGGATGCAAGGGGTACGGCAGGTTCGCGTCGTGACGACCCTGGCGTTTGCTTCTGACACCGCGTGGATCGTTCAACCTTGAACGATCGGCCGTCCCCGCAACACCCAATCGTTCAACATCGACCGATTCTGGGTCGCCGCCAGCTTTCAACGTTGAACGCCGCCGGCGGGGTCGCCGCCGGTCGACACGACGCGAACCTGCCGTACCCTTGGGAAGGGTGCCCACTTTCACTATGCGGGTTGGCTGCACTTCCGCCAGCCTTCCGCCAACCTCTGCCGAGGGCAGAATGCCAACCCCTCTCGACGCGGAGGGCGGCATGCCAACCTCCGAGAAGGCGCGGTTCACAGGCACTTGGCTTGAAAAAATGAACCCCCCCTCCCGGGAACCAGGGGGAGGGGGGGGGAGGCACCCTTAAAATTTCCCCCCCATCCCTTGAAACCCGAGGGGGGGGGGCCCTGGAGAACTGGGGGGTACCCCACCACCCCCGGGGTGGGGGGGCTCCCGAAAACGGGGGGGATACCAACCCCCCCTGGGGGTGGGGGGGGTCGTGATACATTCTCCCATGACCGGGTCCGAACACAGAATGAAGGTTGCATTTGATGTCCCGCGCGCCCAATATGAACGCCATAACTGCGCCAATGGTTCCTTTACCGGCCCGCTCGCCTGACCGGCGTCTTCGGCGGTTGTGAACGATTCCCCCTTAACTTTTCATCTCGCACAGTGAAGGCTGCAATTAATGTCCCGCCCGTCCAATTTGGACGCCCCATCACTGGATTCTGATTTCCACCAGCGCCTTTGGCGGTCGTGATAAATTTTCCCATGAACTTCTCCCAACAGAGAGAAAGTCCTGCCCGCCCGATATGGACGCCCCATCTGAGTGAATGGCTCCTTTGATATCCCGCCCGCCCAGCCAGCGTCTGCGGTATTCGTGATGAACTACCCTGAAATTTCACACAGCGAAGGTTGCATAGATGTCTCGCCCGTCCTGCACGCCCCATCACGGACTACAGGTTTCGTTTACTGTTCCGCCCGCCTGTGTCTTTGGCTTTTCGGATATGTTTCCCATGACTTATCCCAACACAGAGTGTGAAGGTTGCATTTAATGTCCCGCCCGCCCGACTGGTTCTCCAGATCGTCGTTGTCGTTGTCGTAGTCGACGTCGTCGCAGTCGTCGTTGTCGCCATCGCCGTCGCAGTCTGTCACCGTCACCATCGCCGTCGTCGTCGTCGACATCGTCGTCGTCGTTATCGTCGTCGTCGTCGCGGTCGTCGGAGTTGTGGCGGTTGTGGTGGTGGTGGTGGTGGTGGTGGTCGTCGTCGTCGTTTTCGTCGTCGTCGTCGTCGTCATCGTCGTCGTCGTCGTCACCGTCGTCGTCGTCGTCGTCGTCGTCGTCGTCGTCGTCGTCGTCGTCGTCGTCGTCGTCGTCGTCGTCAGCGTCGTCGTAGTCGTTATCGTCGTGATCGTCGTCGTCGTCGTTGTCGTCGCCGGTCCTCTGGGTTCTCGCGAAAGGAGAAAGAGGGGGGGGAGCCCCCTGCTGCCCCCCACCCCCTTCTTGCCCCCCTCCCCACCCCCGGGGTAGGGGAGGTACCCCCCCGGTTCTCGGGGCCCACACCCCCGCCCCGGGGTTAAGAGCCTGGAGCCGCTTTAGGAGGCGCTCCCCCCCGGTTCGCCGGAGAGGCCCTCCCCCCCAGGGGTTCGGAACCTGGAGCCATTTTAGCTGGCGCCCCCCCCCCCAGGTCTCCGGAGCCCTTTCAGGGAGGCGCCCCCCGCTCTTCCCCGGTCCAACCGGACACCAGCGACCACAGAGAGAGAGAGCCCTTTCGAACCGCTCGACGCCTCGAGGGCGAGGCTCTTCCCAGAGAGCGCCCTGCTCCCGCCCCAGACCCCCGACGTCATGATATTTTCATGACGTCGACCCCCAGCGGGCTGGACTCATTCCCTGGGACCGGTTTTTCGTCCCGAGTCGTTTTTTGACGGTCCCGAGGGCCGGTAAGGGCCCCCAGAGTCCAAAAATCATGACAAACCTCCTGTCGCGATTTTTTCATATTTCGACGGGGTTTGGGGCATACGGCGCACGACGTGGGGGGGGGGGGGGGGCTGTGGGCGCACGGCGCAAGCCTGCCGCACCGCTTCTTCGCGTACTGGAACCACCACTTGTTGGCCTGCCCGTCCGCGCCGTACAGGAGGGGCAGCAGCCTGTGGGGCCCGCGCCCGGGCGGCCGGGCGCCCCAGCGGCCAGACCCCCCCCGCGGGCCACCAAGAGATCACGACTGCAGGCTCTGTCGCCATGCTCGGCCCCTACATGGGGGCCCTCACCGTTCTCGGGACCCTCAGATAACGACCCGGGATGAAAAATCACGACTGCGGGTTTTTCGCGATCGTCGGCCCCTGGGGGAGCTTAGCGGCCCTCGGGACCCTCGAAAAACGACTCGGGATGAAAAACGGGTCCCGCGGAATGGGTCCAGACCGCAGGGGGTCCACGTCGTGACAAAATCATGACGTCGGGGGTCCGGGAAGGCTGCGCGAGGAAGGGGGCCCGGAGCAGCCAGGCCGGACAGCGGAGGCCTGCAACGGCCTTCAAGCACAATGCAACTGCTACTCTCGACAAGGATCGAGGAGGGGGAGGAGGAGGACGAGGAGGGGGAGGACAAGGAGGGGGAGGAGAAGGAAGAGGAGAAGGAGGACGAGGAGGAGGAGGAGGAGGAGGAGGAGGAGGAGGAGGAGGAGGAGGAGGGTGCTCGCCTGCGCAGAAGGCCTATACACCACCACCGTGCATGGCCAGGGCCAGCCACGGTGGTGTATGGGTGACATCTGAACTTCTGCGGACCTCCACTCGAGTGAAGGCTCCTGGTGCCAGCGTACAGCCGAAAATCGGATCAGGAAAAAGGGCATTCAGGAAATCTGGGCCAGCTTCCCGGCAATTTCTCGAACAAGCCCATGCCAATGTTTGTTGTTGGCGCTGGAGGGGCGAACGTCCTCAAGGAACTGGGCCAGCTTGTTGACAAGCCGATTGAGAGACGCTGTCCCAGCTCTTCGGGAGGAGAGGTCTTAAGCAGATGCTCGACTCCAGCCGCATCGGTGCCGGCACACTGCACCAAGAAGACCCGCAAAGATGAGGGGATGCTAGGGGGCGGGAGGGGTTGCGACACGCTTGCAGGTGGGGGCACGCCAGGGGCGCAGTCAGGTAGTACCGTCCTTTCCCCTCCCTCCTTGCGGGCAATGGCCACTCTGACTCAGGCCAGCCTCTGAAGAGGCGACGTGGCCGCCAGAAGCTCACCCGGGGCGCCTGAAAAGACGAGCTGTCCCAAGCGCAGGCTCGAGATCGTCCGCCGGTGTGTTGTGGGAGGGGCGGCCCCGAAGCGGCTGGCCATCGGAGGACCCCTAGACCTCTCTGGCGGCACGGAAGAGCTCGGGAGGCTGCTGGCTTCCTCCAGCCTGCAGCAAACCTCGAAAGGCGACTGGCTTGTTGCTTCAGGCTTTTTTTTCCTCGGCAATCCGCGAAGGTCGGAGCCCCAATCTTCGCGCCCCACAGCGCCGAAAAGTGGCCAGAACATGCCGAGAGCGCGAGAACCGCACGCAGCAGCTCGAGACGCGTCGGGCGGCGCGGCGCGCAGCACGTGGATCAGCCGCGGCATCGCACACGGAAGGGGGAAGGAAGTTCAAATCATAGCAAGTTGCGTTGCTTTCTTTTTTGCACGAGGGCGGCGGCGATGGCTCAACGAGCTCTCGGACTGCAAGCCGCCACAGCAGTGCTGCCCCGCAGCACGCATCGGAGGAGCGCCCGGCCAGCAACGAAGACACAGGGCGGAGGAGGAGGAGGCGGAGGAGGAGGAGGAGGAGGAGGAGGAGGAGGAGGGGGAGGAGAGGAGGAGGAGGAGGAGGAGGGGAGGAGGCGGGAAGGAGGAGGAGGAGAGGAGGAGGAGGAGGAGGAGGAGTGAGGAGGAGGAGGAGAGGAGTGAGGAGGAGGAGAGGGGGAGACGAGGAGGAGGTGGAGGAGGAGGAGGAGGAGGAGGAGGAGGAGGAGGAGGAGGAGGAGCATGAGAAGGAGGAGGAAGACAAGGCTTCTGTGAAAATGGACGGGCTGCTGGCTGCTCTTGCTGACTTCGGCAGAACACATCGGGAAGCGCCGCTGGCTTCTTCCAGGGCCTGCGGCGCCCCGCAAGGCCGCCTCGGCCAGAATTCCCCGCAGACCTGGGGCCGCTGCTCCGGGCGCCGCTAGTTGATGATCGCGCGTCGCGCTGCGCGAGAGCGCCAAACGCGGACAACGTCGCGCACTCGCGCCACCCCCCGCGTGGCGGCGCGCGCAAAAAGGTAGGGGGAGGGGGGAGGGAGAGAAAGAGAGAGAGAGAGAGAAAGAGAGCGAGCGAGCGCCGGAAAACGTCCCGGGGGGACGGCCCTCTGAGAGCCCGGCGGGGGCGCCGGAGCGCCCCCGCCGGGAGGCTGAGGGAGGCTGCTTCCAAGAAGCAGGGGTGCTTCTGATAAGGCCCCCCCCCTCCCCCATACTCCCCTCTGACCTCGTCTGTCCCATCGCGCAGGCCATTCGTGTCGAAATCCATGTCGAATCCATGTCGAACGCATCGAACCCGTGTCGAATCTGCATCGAATTCACGTCGGATTCACGCCGAATCCGCGTCGAACCCACGTCGGAGCACAAGAGAAGACTGCCACTTCCGGCTACACGCAAGAGTGACCCTAGGCAAGGGGTAACCTTTGGTGCGCGGATTAAGGGGGCGCGAGGTGGCCAAATCCAAGCGCGCAAACAGCCGCTATCGAATCGCTCTCAGCGATCAGGGGGGACCCCGATGAGCCCACACCAAGGGTCACTCCGACGAAGGATCCCTCTTACGTATAGTCTGCCGACGAGGAGATGAGGATGAGGAGTATGAGGACGAGGGGAGGAGGACGAGGATGAGGAAGATGAGGATGAGCACGAGGAGAAGAGTAAGAGGACGAGGAGCAGGAGGAGGAGGAGTAATGAGGACGAGGAGGATAAGGATGTGGATAAGGAATCGCGAATCGCGAGCCGCGGGCCGCCAACGGCTTCGCGCCCGCGCGGCGGCTCTTGGACCGTGGATCCACGACGCGGCACACGAGGAGCCGGCCCCCTGGGCCAGGGGTCGAGAGCTCTCCGGGGGGGGGGGGGGGGGCGGAGACCCGATAAACAGAGAAACTGGTCATCGAGAGTGTCCGCCTCCAAGGATCGCAAGCGAGGAGGAGAGGAAGGAGGAGGAGGGCGGAGGAGGAGAGGGAAGGAGGAGGGAGGATAGGAGATGATTGATGATGGATGTGAGGATGCAGGAGGAGGAGAGGAGGAGGTAGGAGGAGGAGGAGGAGGAGGAGGAAGACGGGAGGAGGAGGAGGAGGAGGAGGAGGAGGAGGAGGAGGGGAGGAGGAGAAAGGAGAAGGAGGAGGAGGAGGCGGATGGAGGAGAGAGGAGGGAGGAGAAGGGGAGGGAGGAGGAGGAGAGTGGCGGCGGAGGAGGAGGAGGAGAGGAGGAGGAGGGGGAGGAGGAGGAGGAGGAGGAGGATGTGAGGAGGAGGAGGCAGGAGGAGGAGGATGAGGAGGGAGGAGGTAGGAGAAGGGAGGAGGAGGGAGGAGGAGGAGGAGGAGGAGGAGGAGGAGGGGGAGAGAGGAGGAGGAGGAGGGAGAGGCGAGCGAGGAGGAGGAGGAGGAGGAGGAGGGAGGAGGAGGAGGAGGAGGAGGAGGAGGAGGAGGAGGGGGGGGAGAAGGAGGAGGAGGAGGAGGAGGAACGAGGAGGAGGAGGAGGAGGGAGGAGGAGGAGGAGGAGGAGGAGGAGGAGGAGGAGGAGGAGGGGGGGAGGATGGAGGGAGGAGGAGGAGAGAGGAGGAGGAGGAGGAGAAAGAGGGAGGAGGAAGAGGAGGAGGAGGAGGAGGAGGAGGAGGAGGAGGAGGAGGAGGAGGAGGAGAGGGAGAGAGGAGGAGGTGGAGAGGAGGATGGAGGAGGAGGGGGAGGAGGAGGGAGGAGGAGGAGGAGGGCGGAGGGGAGGAGATGGGAGGAGGAGGAGGAGAGGAGGAGGAGGAGGAGGAGGAGGAGGAGGAGGATGGGAGAAGGAGGAGGAGGAGGAGGAGGGGGAGCTCGTGGACGGCCCGAAGGACAACCACACCAGCAACAAAAATCGAGGTAATCTGCCCCTGGTGGAGGCGACCCCTGGCATGTATGCTGGTATTTGAAGGTCTAGGCCCGCAGAGACAAGACAGAGCTGCCCACCCGGCCTTCAGGTCAAGAACTCTCGGGACCTGCGGATGCTCGCTGCTGATTCGAGCATGCGCAGGCCCAGAGGCACGGCGAACTCCTCGTACTCTCTCTCTCTCTCTCTCTCTCTCTCTCTCTCACACACACACACATCCACTCTTCTGCAATATCTGACGCATGGCGGGAGGGAAAAATAGCAACTGGCGGTGCAAAGTAAAGGTGGCCACCTACACAGTGCGAGATACAAGCCGCGATGCGAGTTCACCCTAAGATCGTGTCGGCGCCACGGCCACGATCTAGGCGCATTTCGCCAAGCCGAGCAGTTTCAGCCTGGAGGGGCAACTTGCTTGCTACACCTGCCGACCTGCCTCAGCAAGGCCAGCTCTTGACTTCACGCCGTGGGCCCTACTTCTTGCCACAGCATGACCCGTTCAACATGGAACAATCTGCGCTGACGGAGATCCGCAGGGGCTATAGCCCCCATCTTTCGTAATATGCCTGGCTGCCTCGATACGCAACACGCAACCCGCAGCGTGTCGACACGGATCTCTACACGCAGATTGAAAACGTAGGTCTAGCGCGATACGTTCGCCGAAACGTGGGCCCACACGTTCCGAGCCAACACGCAGCGTGTTAACACAGACGTTTTGAACACAGTACGTGTTGCGTTTCAAACCGGTGGCATCAGGGCAGCTAACGCTGGCATACTATCAAAACGAATATTTAAGATACACAATAAAATGCATCCCCCTTAAACCCCATGTTAAGGCTTGTTCGAGCGCAGCGGGCCATCGAAAGTAGTTAAGAATGGACCAAAGAGGCACGGATGCCAAGGTACCCTTGGGAAGGCTACCAAAGGCCTCCTAGATGGGGTCCGAGTAGATGGGGTCGAAGGATCGCGCCGCATCGGCGACTTCGGCGATGCATCGGCGACGTCGGCGCGGGGAAACACGGTCTCCACATCGAGCCGCATCGACGATGCGGCGCGATCCTCCGACCCCATCTACTCGGACCGCACGTAGGGAGTCTGGAGCTACCCCTCCTTACCATCGGCTTCGACCGTACAGTCGGGGCGTTGACCTAAGGAACCCTAAATAAGGAACGAGGCCCCTTTCTTCCAGAAGTTAAATTTCGATGTCCTATCGGAAACCAAAGGAAAACCCAAGGCAAGCTGCCAAACACTTAAGGAACGCGGAGCCCCTTCCCAACGAAAAGGGTTCCTTCTTCAGGGCCCCGACTGTATCTTGCGGGAGCTACTTCCGCCGTGCTTCTGGGCGGGGGGGTGCGTGCTTCTGCCGAGCTTCCGCCGGCCGCCCACGGAGCCGCCACCGTTTCTGCTCCCGCCGGCCCTCTGCCGGCCCACGCCGCTGGCCTGCCGCCAGGGGAGGAGGCGGCAACTCCTGCAGCCCCGCGAAGGCGGCGCCCTTCCTTGACTACCTACCAGACCACACCAACCCAACCCGAAGACCCGAATTTCGGGTTGGGGGGGGGGGTATGGGCTCCATATGTGTTTTTTCGATGTTCCCGGACCCCCCCCCATTGGAAATGGAGGTTAAATTGAGGCCTTCGGGTTGGGTTGGGGTGGTTTGGTGGGTGGTGATTTCTGGGACCCCCCGTGTGGCTAGCACTGGGGGGACGATAAAGAGGGGGGGGGGGAGGAAAGATGCACTTCTCGGACCTTGGAGGCCTCTCTCTGGGGGCCCTGAAAGGCCCCTTCAGGGCTTCAGGGGCCCTGGAGAGCCCCTTTTTCTGCAGCCCTCGCTACCCCCCCATTTATCGCCCCCCCATCACGCGTGGCCCAGTAGCAAGCGAAGGCCATGCATCCGGAAGGGCGCGTCGGCAGGCTCGAGTTTGCGCCGTTGGCAACCGAGTGGAAAAAAAAAAAAAAAACAAAAAAAAAAAAAAAAAAAAAAAAACGCATGGTCCAGACGGGGGAGGAGGCAGAGAGGAAGAGCTAACAGATTACGCAAACCAGGTGACGCAGACCAGGCGTGGCTGTGGTCTGAAAACTGCTGCTGGCCGTCCTGGCCCTCGGGGCGAGTTGCCGACCCTCCGGGAGCCTGTGGAGCGTCTCCTGCCTCAGCTGCTTCAGGTACGCCTTCGCGACCTGGTTGTCGTGCGGGGCGCCCGCGGGTATCAGCGAGGCGATGACGAAGCCGGGGTCCTGATCGAAGGACCCTTCTTTTTATGTGTTTTATTATTATCATTAATATTATTATCATGTTAATTACCACGTTTTTATGTTTTTGTCTTTGGTCGAAAAACCCTTCTAAGAAGGCCCCTGCCTTCTGTCGCCGCACCAGCCTTGCAGACGTGCTGCGCCAGTTTTCTGCGCGGAGTTCTGCCAGCGCAAGACCCCGAAACGGCGGGTGGAAAACGAAGTGCCATCCGCGTGGATTTGTTGTTTGTCTTCGCTCCTGGCCCAAGAGAAAGATCCGCGCGAAATCCACCTCGAAATCAGGAACGGAATTCTCCAAGACGCTCCGGGCCCATCCGATCGTTTTCCGAATGAAATCCGCTCTGCGATGTTGGCGCTATGACTTCTAAGAAGCCAAGAGGGCAAGAGGTGGAGGGGGGAGGACCGCGATCAGCGGGAGGAACAGGATGAGGGCTGAAGAGGGCGGAGGAGGGGCGGAGGAGGGGCGGAGGAGGAGGAAGAGCAGGAGTAGGAGGAGGACTGGGATGGGGGCAGAAAAGGGTCCCAAGATGGCTCCAAGATGCCCATGATACCCCCAAGATGCCCAAGATGGTATCCAGGATGGTCCCAAAACGCCTCAGAGACGGCCAAGATAGCCCTGAAGAAGCAGAGATGGCCTCCAAGTCGGCCCAAAAAAACTCAAAAACGGCTAAAATGCCCTCCAAACGGCCCAAGGCGTCCCCAAGGCGCCCCCAGAAGGCTCCAAGAGGACCTCCAGGAGGCCAGAATCACTGATGTTCCTACCACAGAATATAAACCACTGATCTTACACCACCAATCGCATGCCTCATGGTTTCCGCCACGTGTACTGCACCACGTAGCTTACTCCACATAGCTGACAGCGCAAAGCTTACATCACATAGCTTCACCACGTATGTTACACCACATAACTTGCAGCACCTAGCTTGGACCGCATAGCGTTCATCACATCGCTTACACCAGCTAGCGTGCACCACATAGCATACACCACCTAACTGTTAACACATAGCTAACACAGCTAACACCATATACATAGCTGGCTGACACCACATGATTCACACAACGTAAAATGCACCGTATTACGTACACCGCCAAGCTTGCACCACATAGCTGACACCGAATAGCTTGCATCACATAGTTTGCACCATCTATGTTGCGCCATTCGGAATTGCACCACGTAGCTTACAACACATAGCTTACACTACCTATACTACACCGCATAGCTCATATAACATAGAGCACACCACGAGTGTTGCACCACGTAGCCTACGCATCCACCAAACAGCTATGAGCGGAGTCCACCCTGGTAAGCATGATTGTCCTTGGGGCTATAAAAAGACGACGCTCAACGGCTGTCTGATCCTTGTTGTTATTATGTTATGAACCCCCTCCCCCTCCTCCTCCTCCTCCTCCACCTCCTCCTCCTATCTATCTATCTATCGCCTTAGGCGCGCGACAATGTCAGCGGCGCCTGAACAGACAAAGGGACCAGCCCAGGAAGATCCGAGCTACGCCCCCGAACCAATCACTCACCATCGGAAAGAGGCTCTGGCTCCGAACGCTTCCAAGCTTCGAGCTGCTCAGACGAGACCTCAAAGCGTCTCAACAAATCCTCGCGCGACCACCTGGGACCCCAGACAGGCTGCACTGGCAGGCGGGAGCACCGAGCCATCGCTCCACTGAGACCACGAGGGGCGGCAAGGGAAAGCAAGTCCGCGGCAGAGGGCTCCGACAAAGGCCCGAGACGCCAGCCCTTATAAGGGCCGCCCCAGGACGGGAAAACACCCCCCCAGGCCCGAGCGAGCTGGCGCCTCGTGCGCTTAGTGGGTGGCTTCGTCGCACACGGCTTGGACAGTGACTGGGCAGCGGCCCACGCATAACCACCACAGGCGATGCAAACCATGCACGTGGGTCCTGTGAGAACAGTAGCACCATTCTCATCAAACACGGACGCGACTCGCAACTGGCGCCCAAGAAGCTGCAGCAGCAGCGACAACTCGGAATCCTGAGCGCCGCAAGTCACGGGAGGGCTCTGGAACTTAAACCTGCCCCTGGAGCCCGAGACAAGAGAAGCGGCAGGCACGCGGCCAGGCAGACAACGCGCGAGGGCGCGCCTGGCCTGGCCTCCGTCGTCTTCAGCTGGCCCAGGGAGGTCGGCCGCATCACGGAGAGATCCTTGCGCCATCGTCACCTCCTGGGTCCCTGCCCAGACGGCGCACGCGCGCGAGAGCCGAGCCAGACCTTCGATGTCAGCCGCGGCCGCTGTCGTGTCGGGGTGACAGCCCGCACCGCGGCGGGCGAAACGGTCGGCATGGCCGTTACCCTTCCTCTCCCACTCCGTCGTCCTCCCCGCGCCCACGTCCCCCAGGGTCGCATGCCCCTTAGTCTTGTGGGCCACGAGGCCCGAATCGAACCTCTGAAACACCCTCGTCCAGAGATGGGCCCGAGGATTCGACGAATCAAGAGCGAACGACGGCGAGTTACAACAATCGACCGTGCCCTGGCAGTCGATATAAAACTCCACGGGCTCTTGGACGCACACGCATGAGAAAAATATCGCAGCATCCCCCCCATCCCGCGCCTGCTGGAAGGGTGCGAGGTCAGCGGGCACAGCACCGCACGCGCAGGCGAGGAAACTCCCCCACTCGTCAGTCATCACTAGCGACCAACCCGCACGACGGCTGAATTCACAGTCTGGGTGAACCGCCGAGCCGTCCGAAAAGACAATCCCGCTCAAGAGCCCCGAGGCAGGGCGATTAACCCAGCAGATCTGAAACTCAGGGTCAAACGAATAGAGCGGGGCAGGCGGAAGGTCGATAGGACTAGGAAAATACCACAAGCAGCGAGCTCGCACTCCTGACCCCAAGACTCCACCTGCCTCAACGCGGCAAGAACTCGGGAATCGCATAGGTCACGGCGGCACGCTGACCAGGCAGGGCACGACACTCGACGATGAAAGAGCGTTCCAGCTTCGCCGTGGCAGGCCAAACACGTCCCAGACTCGGTGATTCCGTGATCGCACTGCTTTTGCTGGGTCCAACTGGCCATTGAGACAAGAGACCTCAAAGCGCTCTGGTGATGATCGGACCAGACAGCATTTTTCTTCCCCTCCAGGGCTTGACGCAGAGGCTTCCAGAAAATCGGCCTGAGCCAAGCGCCCGACCTCTGGTGGCGAGACAGCGCCACCACATCCGAACGGGCTAAGGCAGCTCGCTCAGCTAGCATCCTGACCTGGCTCGGAGCAAACCTGAGGAGGTCCAGCCTCTCTCCTCTCTCAGAAACGAAGAACCGAGCAGAATCCCCCATCCACCCCAGCTCAGAGAGGGAGAGAAGCAGGACGTGGGCAGGCGAGCACGCCACCCCCCAAGGGCTCTTCGACGCCTGGAGGTGGGAACGGGCGTGCTCAAAACACTTTTGCAAAATCGCCAAGCTCGGGGAACCTTCCCAGACGGCCCTGGCCCACATAAAGATCACCGAACCGTGATACAACTTTGCAGGGTCGATCTGCGCTCCGAGAGAGCAAGACAGCAAACGGAGCCCAACAAATGAGGTCTGCTTTTTCTTGAAAAGGCTACGCACCGCCTGGAGCCTCAAGTTATGCAATCCCCGACCCGTCAGACCCATCACCGCCGCCCCCCACAGACTCCCAGCTTGAGGCCCCGAGCGGTGCACTGAACCTATCCTGGCGCCGGCCTCGCGAAGCTTGCGCAGACGGCTGGATCGACGAAAGCCTTTGAGAAGCCTGCGCCTCGCTATCGGGGCCCGCCTGCGCCCTACACTCGCTGCGTCGGTCCCCAAATTACGAGCAACCCCCTTCCGACGAAACCCAAGAGCCCTCCAAACGTCGGACAGACGATCCGCAACGGCCTTGCACGAGGCCAGGAAAAAAACTTTTCGAAACGTCCAGACGCAGGCGGAGGCGCGCAAAGCCACTGGCCAAGTGAATGCCTACTGCTCCCAGCTGCTCGCCGACGTGGGACACGGTGCCGATGCTCTGCGCCGACACGTCGTCCACCACGTTGCGCAGCACCACCGAGGGATGGTCCCGCTGGATGTCCACGAAGAGCTGATACAGCAGCACCTTGATCATCGTCGTGGCCAAGCTGCAACCTGCCAAGACCGTGCCGTCGGGCACCGCGAACACCGCACTGCAGCAATCCTGGAAAGTGATCGCCCTCGGCCCGCTGTACATAGCGCAGGCGGCACGCATCACCTTCAAGTTGAACTGGACAGCTGCTGCCTGCTCGCCGAGCTCCTGGTGCGAGACGTATTCGTACGCCTTCTTCAAGTCAGTGAAGAGCGTGCCTGACTCCATGCCGATGCAGTGCCCGTAGTAGCCGAGCAAGTTGTGCCCCCAGCCTGCCCGATCGCACGACTTGTCACGCACGCCCCAGAACGCCGCCAGCCTGTGCTCGCTCTCCCACTCCTGGGCGATGTCCTGCCGCAAGCGGCTCCACACCCGCAGCAGGCTGGCGATCAGCGCGATCGGCCGCAGGCCGCCGCCCTCCTTGCCGATGAAGATTATCAAAGTCGGCCAAAGCTCGGACCAGGACGGCGCACTCCCCCACAGCTCCAAGAGATCCAACAATCTGATCAAGAAACTGTCGTCCAAGAGCAGCCAGGACCGCGGGTTCACGCAGTCGCTCCCCAACCCAGTGCTGTGGTTGAAGCGCTGCAGCACCCTCTTCAACCGCACCAGGCTCGGCCTCGGGAGGGTGACCTTGTCAGCTGCCTCCAGAAAGGAAGCCGCCAGCGGAGCCTTGCCGTCGAACCAGTAGCCCTGCCACTCGGCCAGCAGCGCATCAACTGCGACGTCACCCTGGAGCGCCTCACCATGGGCCCCAGCGGGCCCCTTCCAGCGCAACATGCTCCCTGCTGAACCTGTGCGCATCACGGCCTCCATTGAACACGGCGTCCTTCGCCCAGGCCTGCCACCGCTGCCAAGACTTGGTGCGCTCCTGCTTACCAACCTTGTCAGCAAAGGCCCGCACGGCGTCCTCGACCTCGAGCAATGCCGTACTCCCTGCGAGCAGAGCGGAGCCGACGGCGGCCGATGACAGCTGGGCCTCCCCGAGCCGCTCGGCTCCGAGCCTCGCGTCGTCGCACTGCCCCAGCAGGTCGAACAAATGAAGCACCTGCGGCCTGAAATGAGTCGGCCAAGCCGCCATGTGCTCCTCCTTCTGGCGAGCCGCGGCAGCTGCGCCAGGCGCCCGCGGGGCCGCGGCGCCAGGGCCTGCAACGCCTGGGCATGGCCCTGGCGGCGCCAGCGGCCTGGCGGCGGCTGGTGGACCAGCCGCCCTGGCGGCGCCAGCGGCCTGGGCATGGCCCTGGCCCGCAGCACGCCACAGCGCACGTGCACGATGCAGGATCGACGCCATCGAACTCCAAGCTCTGGCTGTAATGGACGCCCCAAGCGGAGCGCGCTTGACCAGGCGATCCATGCGAACGCCTTTGCGCTTGAAGCCACAGCGCCTGCCTCGGTAGCACTCGCCAGCTGCGCCGTGCAGGTCGAACAGGTGGCAAAGGTCGGCCTCCATGTTGTCAAGCCACTCCTGCCAGGCCGCCGTCAAGCCGAGGTGGGCAGGCGCCCTGCCCTCGTCCCAGCCCCAGTTGTGCATGAGCGGCTCCTGGAGACAGCCAATGCTCAGGCGCGTGGGAAACGGTCGCCACTTGGTCCGAACCTGGACCGTCAGATTGAGGCTGACCCCCCCTCAGCCATACTTCCACTGGGGTGTGGGGCTCCGTCGGCGCCGCGGAGAACAGCAGCACCCGCTGCACGCACGAAGCCACCCCCTGCGACATCACGAAGAAGTCGAGCTTGCGTGCCGCGCCTGTGGAAGGGTAGCACGTCGGGCTGCCCGTCGACACGATCGTGCCCCCCAGCTTCTGCACCCACGACGCCATACCAGGGTCATCGGCTGCAATGTTCCAGTCACCTCCTATCAGCCACGGTACCTGCAGATCGGACAGCCAACTGCTGAGGCTACGAAGCAGCGTCACGTTCTTGCCGCTAAAGCCCAGACCATCGAACAGATAGACCGAGAGGAAGAACACGCCACCAGGGACAACAGCCTGCACCTTCATCGCAGCAACGCGGCCACGCCAAAGGTCCGAGAGCCCTGTAATGTCGGAATCTCGGTACCCCGCTGCAGTAAGGTGCTTGGCTGCACACGCAATCGCCCCTGCCGATGTGGACAACTTGTGATCCTTGCCCTTGGAGACACATGGCGTGACTGCAGACTTGTAACCTTTCAACGAGAGCCAGCTGGCGACCGACCGAGCGTCATCGCCATCCCCCTTCCGAGTCTCCTGCACCGCGAAGAAATGAGGGGCTGGATACTCGCAAGACTCGAGCCGCCAGTCGCAAACAGCCTGAAACGAATTGCGATACGTCATGCTCGACCACGTGTTGGCATTAACTGTGCAGAATCTCCAAGTTGTGGCTTCGCGGCTGGCCCCGCGGCGACCTCGCTGACACCGCTGAGCACTACCCGCACTTCCGACGCTTGCCTTTGAGCTCTGCCGCCCTGAGCGCGGCCTGGACGGACCGCTTGATGGCCGCCGTGCGCTCGGCGGAGTCGGCCACCCCGGCATGCTCGGCGGCGGCCGCGGCAGCTGCAGCCTCGACGGCTGCAGCGGCGTCCTCGTCGAGCTCCATGTCGTCGGCGTCGGTGCCAGCACGCATTGACTCCGCAGCAGCAGGTTCAGGTGCGCGAGAAGCCCCAGCAGTAGCAGCAGCTTGCCCCTGCAGCATGCCCACGAGCTTCTCCAGGTGCCCACCAGCCCGCTGCTCGGCGAGCCACTCCTTGAAGCCGCCACCGACCTGCTCGACCTGCTCGCTGGGGATGCCGTCGACGTCGAGCACGGTGACGGCCCCGCCGCTCCCGAACTGCTGCTGGAAGGTCGACTTGGCCTCGTCCTGCAGCTTCTGCACCGCCGAGGCAGCCTGGGCGGCAGCCGTCTCGAGCTCCTCGAGCTCCTTGTCCAGAGCGGCCTTCTGTTGCTGGACCTCCTCCCGCCGCGCCGCCAGCACCCCACGCGCCTTGGCCTCAGCGGCCTTGGCCCTGGCGAGGCGCTGCGAGATGTGCATCTGCACAACCTCGGGCGGCTTGGTCGCTGTGACCAGCTGCTGCACCTCCTCAATCTTCTGATCTGCCAGCTGCTTGTCGGCCTCGGTCGTGGCGAACTTCGAAGCGTTGCGCCAGAAAGCCAAGCGCGACTGGAGTTCCTTGGCGTGGTCGGGCACAATGGGGCCCTCAGACGGCGACGGTGCAGGAACTGGCTCGGAGTGCGTGAGCTGCGCCAGCTGCTTGGCCATGGTCTGGACCATCTTGGACAAATCCTTGAGCTCCTTACTCTGGCCGCCCACGAGCGTGCTGGGTGGGCCTGCTGCCCACTTCGAAGACGGCGGCAGCTTGGGACCACCTCCGCCAGCAATGGCCTTCTCGTGGGCAGCCTTGGCCGCTCGGATGACGCCTGGCGGGGCTGGAGCTCCACAGATGCATCGAACCCTCGACGCCCAGTTCTCACTCCGAGAGCATTTCCCGCAAGACCAGCGCGGTCCCTTGGGACCCGACAAAACATCCTTGCTGACCATCGAACGTGTAAAAGTGCGCAAAATGTGGGGGATGAAACCCCAATGCAGTACCAGAAAAGCTCTGGCGGATCGCTGTCGGGGCCGCTGCCTCTGCGAGGCTCCCCAGTGCCAAAAACTCGCTGTCCGCTGCTGACCTTGGGCCTCGCTACGGACTTGAGCCAAAATGGCAGGACGACCACCCTCAGCCTCCGCCCTCCGACTTCCACACGAAGCCCTCCCCTTCCTACTATCCTCCGCCTCCTCCCTCCCGCCCCCGCCCGCACCTACCCTTCACCTCTCCTCCTACCCTACTTCTCTTCCTCACTTACCTCCCCTTCTGAGCCTGTTCGCCCCCCTCCTCCTCCTCATCCGACTGCCGATCCTCCTCCTATCGCCTGACTCCTCCTGCTCCTCCTCGTCCTCCTCCTCCTCCTCCTCCTCCTCCTCCTCCTTCTCCACCTCCTCCCCTCCTACTCCTTCTCCTCCTCCGGAGGAGGAGGAGGCCTCCATGAGGCCTCTGGGGGGGCCTTCTGGGAACCTCCTCCAAAGGCCTTCGCGGATTCCGCCCAGAGACCTCCGAGGAGGGAGGAGAAGGGGAGGGGGAAGGAAAGGGGGGGGAGGAGAGGAAGAGGAGGGGAGGGAAGAGGAGGGAAGGAGGGAGGAGGAGCGGGGAGGGGGTAGGACAAGGAGGACGAAGGAGGCGGGGGGGGGGACGGGAGAGGGGACCCCAAACGCCGTCGCCGCCGCCGCTGTCGCCGTCGTCGCGGCAGCCTTCGCTGTCGTCGCCGTCGCCGGCGCCGTCGCCATCGACGCCGACGACTCGACGACGTCGTCCGCAGCGGCGGCGGCCTTCGGCGGCGGCGGAGGGTCCCCGGGCCCTGGCAGGTCGGCCGCGGCCATCGCCTCCAGCTGCCTGCTGGCGTCCTCCGCGCCGCTGGCCCTGGCGCGGTCAGGCCTCCTCCTCCGAGGCCGTCCGCCTTCCTACTTACGCATCCTAATCCGACTCCGCACGACTACAAGAATTACGCATACCACCCTAAACCCACACCCCTTCACCCAAGAATCAGAAGAATCCTTCGTACGCCTCATCCTCATACGTGACCCTACCACTCACTCAGTCCGCTAGCATATTATGCTTTACTACTACTATGATTCTTGGTAGTATGAATATGATCAATAATCGTATGGTTTATATGTATGCTCAGTGTTGTGTTTATTATTGGAATTCGTATCAGTAGAATACTCGTTTACTACCAGCATTAGTACCATTATGATTAATCGTATTATTCGTATTAGTAAACAGTATCAGTATCATTCGTATTCGAATTAGTGTGCTTCTTTGTAGTTGGAATACTGTTCGTGTTACCCTTGTTGTTATAATTCGCATTATTCGTATTATTCGTCGTCTCCCGACTATTAACATTAGATGCATGCTGAACATTAGTGTTACGAGTCCTACTTGTCTTATTGTGGTTGCCTTCGTAGTAACAGCATGTGGCGTTGTACTACAATGAGTAGACTTAGTCGTATTATGAGTGTTGCTTTGTATGTTACGATGTTTCGTAGTATTGTTCTTATACATGTTATAAGTACGACTAGTAGTTCTAGTATTCGCATTGTGAATGTTATCAGTATTGTGAGTAGTTGTCATGTTATGCCAAATCGTGAGATTATGATTAGTGGGATATACAGTAATCGCATTCTCAGTAGAAGTAGTATGAGTGATCTAGGTGTTAGCACTAGCTAGCATTAGTAATACTATGATTTATAGAACGGTGATCCCCCTTCATCGTAAAACTTGTGTGCTTTTGGCGCGGTTCATGATATATAGGTGAATAGGGATTAATGTTAAGAAGTTAGAAAGAAGACTGAATAAGAATTAAAATATTAATTTAATAATCAGAATCAAGATTAACGAATATAGAATAAGAAGTCAAAGAGGAAAAAAAAAAAAAGCGAGTGGGAAAAAGCAGAGAGAGAAGAAGAATAAGAAAAGAGAAGAGCATGAATAACACGAAGAAATACTAAGAAGAAGAAAAAAGAAGGAAGAATAGCAGATAATCAAAGACCAACAACAAGAGAATAAAGGACATATAGAAGAAATAAGACAGAAGAATAATACGAATCATACTCACATATTAAATGTAAAAAGAAGACGAGTCATGTAAGAAATAAAACGAAAAAAGAAGAATGTATGAATAAGAATAATAAATACAGCAAGGATAACTCTAATACACGATTCCTAGATCAATCCTCCTCCTCCTCCTCCTCCCTCATCCTCCTCCCATACGCCCCTCCACCTCGCCTCCTCCTCCTCCTCCCTCCGCATCCCGCCTACACCCCCTCATCACTCTACTACACCTCCTTCATCCTCCTCATCCTCCTCCTCCTCCTCCTCCTCCTCCTCCTCCTCCTCCTCCTCCTCTTCTCGAGGCGAGTCCAACCGTGGCGGCGAGAACCTCCCAGCATCTTCGCCCCTCCAATAAACATCTCCGCAGTCTGTCACTCCCTCCTCACGCCTTCCTCCTCCTCATCTTCATTCTCCCCGTGGCTGACCTGTCAGCAGTGGCAAGGCACTTCTGGATCCAGAGGGTCAGGTAGATGAGCACCCTGTCGCCGCCTCCGAGCACCTGGGACGACGTCGTCGTCGTTGTTGTCGCCGCCGCCGTCGTCTGGTGCCTCCTGTCGGCCCCCCCATCGCCATGACTAGAGTCGCCTCGGCATCCTAGCCAAAACGAGCTCCAGAAAAGGTCGAGGGGTCGATTTGAGAAGCGTCGTCATCGTCGTCGTCGACGTCGGGGGAGAAGGATACTGAGGAGGAGGGTCCTGGGTTCTCAGAAGTCAGGAGTGCTAAGGGGCTCGAAGAGGCTCGAGGAGAAGGTAGGCGTGGGGACAAAGACGAAGGTGGAGGATGGTAGAGGGTCGTCTATGAGGTTCTAGGGTTCAAAGGGTTGTATGGTGGCCAAGGGGGCCGCATTTTTTCTCGTAGAGTTCAGACGGTTGTCGGAGGGTTGGGGACGAGCAGGAGCAGCAGAAGAAGGAGGAAGAGGAGGGACGAGGGAGAAGCGTTTAGGGGATGAGATCGGGTGTTCGGTGGATCTGGGGGGCGGAGCGTCTCTGAGGTTCAAGGTAGCCCTAGAGGGTTAGAGGAGGAAGAGGGAGGAGGACACGGAGTTCGAGGAGGAAGTGGAGGTGTCGCTCAAGAACGACCGATAATAATACTACAGCTACTAACAACATTAACAGGCATACGAACATGAATAGTAGTAGTAATGATACGATTGGCCCTACTGATGTTATGCTACTATTACGACTACAAACGCAAAACAAAACAAACGTCATATGTTGATAATAGAAGGAACAGCTATGATACGATACTAACAAAAATCATACGAGTACTCATATTGATACGAATCCTACGAATGATAATACTACTAATAATAATAATAAATCATAATAGTAATAATAATAATAATCATAATGATAATAATAATACTAATAATAATGATGATAACGATAATACTAATAATACTAATAATGTTAATAACAATAATACTGTAGTTCCAAGGTTGTATTGAGCGAAGTCCGCGCGACGGGGGGGGCGGGGGCGAAAAAGATCAGGCCTCCACTCCAGAATCGCATTGCCTGAACTTCTGGGGGCGCCCCGAGACACATCAGAATACACCAGAGCGCCCCCGAAACCACAATCCGTTACACATTATTTTCTAATGTACAGCAGATTCGTGCTCCCTAAAACAGGGTGCTTAGTAAATGTACAGTGGAGGCCTGTCCACAAGAAGGCTCCCACAAGAAACTCAACCCTAAAACCCCAGGACGTCCATTGATTCTTGGTGCGGGAACGTCACGCTTTCCATAGCGAAACAATCGAAACCCAAGGCGCCCTGGAGGCACGACGGGTATTTCCTGGCATGGGTTTCCACTGTACAACAGATTCGTGCTCCCTCAAGCAGACTCCTTCGTAAGTGTGCACGCGTTCGCGCTCCCGAAGCGACAGCCCTTTTTGCAGCATATAACAGGATCGCGCCCTCGGGGCCAGAGTCCTTTTCTGCAAAATCACAAGAAGCCCTGCGTCCCCGAGGACAGGAGCCTACTCCAGAGCCAAAAACGGTCATGTGGTTCGGTCTTCGCTCATTCGGGGAGAGGGGGGGGGCGGGGAGGGGGGAGCTTGGGGGTGGGCGGGGGGGCGCGTATCGGCCTTCCCGTCGTTTCATAAGAATCGGGCTCGGGGCCCTGGGACACGTATTATCCCGGTAAAGCAACTTAACAGCGATGTGTATAAGCATATCTGGAAGCATTCCCCTTAAGATTCAGGTGAGAATCCAGTTGTAGAATTCTGCTATTCTCGGAGTCGCAGTCGCATTCGCAATGACAGTCGCAGTGGCAACGGCCTTAGGATCCAATGGAATCCCAAAGGATTCCTAAGGATTCCAAAGGCATCCTTAGGCATCCTTAGGAATCCATAGGAATCCTCAGGATTCCTAAGGATTCCTGAGGATGCTTAACTATGCCGACGGATTCCTAAGGATGCCTACGGATTACTAAGGATTCCTGGGGATTCCTAAGGATTCCGATGGATTCCTACGGATGCCTCAGCCTGCCTCAGTTTCAGCCTCAGCCTCAGCCTGCCTCGGCTTGCCTCAGCCTCAGCCTCAGCCTGCCTCGGCCTCAGCCTCAGCCTGTCTCAGCCTCAGCCTCAGCCTCAGCCTGCCTCAGCCTCAGCCTGCGTCAGCCTCAGCCTCAGCCTGCCTCAGCCTCAGCCTCAGCCTCAGCCGCAGCCTCAGCCTCAGCCTCAGCCTCAGCCTGCCTCGGCTTGCCTCAGCCTCAGCCTCAGCCTGCCTCGGCCTCAGCCTGCCTCGGCATCAGCCTGCCTCAGCCTCCCCTCCTCCTCCCCCCCCCTTCCCCCCCCCCCATTCAGCCTCACCTTGTCTCAGCTTCGGCCTGCCTCGGCCTCATCCTCAGCCTCAGCCTCAGTCTCAGCCTCAGCCTGTCTCGGCCTGAGCCTGCCTCGGCCTCAGCCTCAGCCTGCCTCAGTCTCAGCCTCAGCCTGTCTCAGCCTCAGCCTGCCTCAGCATCAGCCTCAGCCTCAACCTCAGCCTGAGCCTCAGCCTGCTCGGCTTGCCTCGGCTTGAGCCTCAGCCTGCCTCGGCCTCAGCCTCAGCCTCAGCCTGCCTCAGCCTCAGCCCTCAGCCTTGCCTCAGCCCAGCCTTGCATCAGCCTCAGCCTCCCCAGCCGCAGATTGCCTCAGACCTCAGCCTCAGCCTCAGACTCAGGTCTCAGCCTGCCTCAACTCAGCCTCAGCCTCAAGCCTGCCTCGCTTGCTCAGCCCAGCCTCAGGTCAGCACCTGCCTCAGCTTCAGAGTACCTATCAGCATCAGCCTCAGCCTCAGCCTCAGCCTGCCTCAGCCTCAGTCTCAGCCTGCCTCAGCCTCAGCCTGCCTCAGCCTCAGCCTCAGCCTCAGCCTGCCTCAGCCTGCCTCGGCGTGCCTCAGCCTCAGCCTCAGCCTGCCTCGGCCTCAGCCTGCCTCGGCCTCAGCCTGCTTCAGCTCGGGCATTCAAAATATGGCACAGGACTGGTGTTCTGGGAGCACGAAGATCACGAAGTGGCCCACAGTTGGCTCCGGGCAATCAAAATATGGTGCAGGAATGGTGTTCTGGGAACACGATGAACACGAAGTGGCCTACAGTTGGCTCCGGGCATTCAAAATGTGGCCCGGGAATGGTGTTCTGGGCATTCAAAATGTGGCCCGGGAATGGTGTTCTGGGAACACGAAGAACACGAAGTGGCCTACAGGTGGCTCCGGGCATTCAAAATGTAGCCCGGGAATGGTGTTCTGGGAACACGAAGAACACGAAGTGGCCTGCAAATGGCTCCGGGCATTCAAAATGTGGCCCAGGAATGGTGTTCAGCTGGGAACACAAAGAACACGAAGTGGCCTACAGTTGGCTCCGGGCATTCAAAATCATGCCCAGGAATGGAGTTCTGGGAACTCGAAGACCACGAAGTGCGTTACTGTTTGCTTAAAACGAATTCCCCGGCATCCCCCCCGCATCCTCCCCCGGATCGCGCCCAGACCCCCCTGGGGCGTCATGATGCTCTCTTTTGACCCTACTAGAAACCTATCAGTCTTCGCTGTTAGGTAAAAATGCTGCAGACTCGCGCGGTCAAGGCCACAATCTCTTGTAAATGAATACGAGCTTGCGCCCCCGAGGTCACAATACCTTGGGAATAATAACACGCTCACGCTCCCGAGGCCACAACCTCTTGTAAATTAACGTAGTGTGAATTGCAACGCGTTCGCGCTACACCAGAATCGCATTACTGCGGCCACGAGACTTTGCCAAGTACTGCGCTTTCGTGCTCCCATAGAATATGCATTTCTCCCAACATACACGTTTTGGCGTCGACGTTGCACAATGCGCTGCGAAAACTGAATACAGAGCACATCGCGCGCGAAAAGGCGAAACATCTCTCTCTCGCCGCGGCTCCGCACTCATGCTTCCTGACGGTTGAGATCCCGCCCGGGCGCGGTCACCAAGTCGTGGACAACGGAAACGCGCGCGAGCGGGCGAAGTGTAGAACTGGCCCGGGCGCCGCACACATTTTGTCCGAAAATGGCGTTCCCGGCTGGGCGCGGCGAATACGTCTTACTTTGGCCGTGCACAAACGGGTTGCTTGTCGCCCTTGCCCATAGTCCGTGCAGGTTTCGCCTGGAAATGGCATTCCCGCTTTGGCGCGGCGCGTGTCGTTCGCTCGCCGAGTCGCCAAAAAGCGGTAGCTGGACCGCTCAGGCGGTATCGGAATGCCGTTCTCGCCAAAGCGCCGCGCTGAGTTCGCGGTCAAGTGGACAAGATATTTCAACGTGGAACATGCTCAATCTTCGCCGCTGTTCCGTTCGCTACGATGAACGTGCGCCAGTCCCAATATTGAGTTGCGCCAACATCGGTTCTTGCGTAATGGGGGAGAGGGGGTGGGCGGGGCCCGCTGACTCAATCGATCTGGATAGCCTCACTACTCCATCCGCCCTCCCCCTGCCGCAACCACAGACGTTCTCATAGGGCGAGCGGGGCG